TTTTATAGGTTATCAATCGTGATATCTGTCTATTATTTATAGTTCATCAATCGTGATATCTGTCTATTATTTATAGGTCATCAATCGTGATATCTGTCTATTATTTATACGTCATCAATCGTGATATCTGTCTATTACTTATAGGTTATCAATCGTGATATCTGTCTATTATTTATAGATTATCAATCGTGATATCTGTCTATTACTTACAGGTTATCCATCGTGATATCTGTCTATTATTTATAGGTTATCAATCGTGATATCTGTCTATTATTTATAGATTATCAATCGTGATATCTGTCTATTACTTATAGGTTATTAATCGTGTCGTCTGTTAGTTTTTTATACGTCATCAATCGTGATATCTGTCTATTATTTATAGATTATCAATCGTGATATCTGTCTACTACTTATAGGTTATTAATCGTGTCGTCTGTTAGTTTTTTATAGGTTATCAATCGTGATATCTGTCTATTATTTATAGGTTATCAATTGTGATATCTATCTATTATTTATAGGTTATCAATCGTGATATCTGTATATTATTTATAAGTTATTAATCGTGATATCTGTCTATTATTTATAGGCTATTAATCGTGTCGTCTGTTAGTTTTTTTATAGGTTATCAATCGTGATATCTGTCTATTATTTATAGGTTATCAGTCGTGATATATATTATTTATAAGTTATTAATCGTAATATCTGTCTGTTATTTATAGGTTATTAATCGTGTCGTCTGTGTATTATTTACAGGTTCTCAATCCTTTCACTGATACCTCCCTGTGGGAAGGCACCTGGCGTCCCCAGTTCCTCAGCTGGACACTAAAAGACGGTTCAAACCACCCTTGGTTATCACGTGACTGTCTTGCTTTGGATGTCGTCAATTAATTACTCGAAAAACTTCTTTTTTTTATATATATATATAATCACAACCTGCATTTTATACAATCACAACCAGCCTTTTAATTCTGTACTTTAACAAACCTGATCGATCTTTACCAAAGAACTAAGCTGTTTATAGATAATGATAAACAAAGGTTTTACATTTAATTTGGTGCTAGGGAAGCTATGTATGAAGGCTGTTAATATCATTCGTTTTGTGTAAAGAACTCTTATAATAAAACCAGTTTTGTGTATCAGTTAGTGGCCAACACCAGGTCTGTGTACGTTAACGTATCAGTTGTAGTTATCAGTAACAGTTAAAGTGGTGGAGGTTACTCTAATTGTTTGGTCAGTTACAGTGACTGGTACCAATAAGATATTTGAATATAGTTTATTTAGTCTTTTTTATTAGTATAAAATTGGATATTGCTTACATCCCAGAGTAAGTTATCCAACTTTGAAGACTCAAATATTAAGAATCAGAAAAAAAGATTCAAAACCATCATAACTTCTTTTACACACATCTATTTATTTCAATGTAAAAATGTTCTCATGATTTTATTCAGAAACCCTGATGATGCTTAGAAAAAACGTTACCAATCTAAACTTTTAAATGTAAGAGATTTGTTTGTTTGTCCCTGAACTATTCCTAGTCTTGGGACCAACCTCAACCAAACTTGGTAGGGTGATACATTGGCCCAACCTCAACCAAACTTGGTAGGATGATACATTGGCCCAACCTCAATCAAACTTGGTAGGATGATACATTGGACCAACCTCAACCAAACTTGGTAGGATGATACATTGGCCCAACCTCAATCAAACTTGGTAGGATGATACATTGGACCAACCTCAACCAAACTTGGTAGGATGATACATTGGCCCAACCTCAACCAAACTTGGTAGGATGATACATTGGACCAACCTCA